GTGCTCTTACTGCTGCACAACCTTTTAGAAAACAAATGCTTCTTGAATCGGTTTGCCAATATTCATTAAAATATTTCATTTATTATTTTTTATTTGTATGAGTATTGTGCCTGTATGTGTGTAAGTGCACCATGTGTATTCAGTGCCCATGGAGGTCAGAAGGGAGAATCAGATCCCCTACAACTAGAATTATGGACAGTTGTTGTGTGGGTGCTGGGAACCAAACCTGGGTCCTCTGAAGTGCTCTGAATCTCTGAGCCGTCTAGCCAGTGCCAGTGGTTTGCCATGTTCATTAACAAGGACGTTCTATACTGTTTTTGTTGTAGTGCCTTTATCTGGATTTGGCATCAGAATAAGCGTGACTCATGAGTGCAGTAGTGTTCCATCCCTTTCTAACGTATGGAACAGTCTAAGGGCATGGTGTTAACTCTTCTTTAAAAATTGGTAGAATTTGGCTGTGAGTTTATTCAGTTCTGGCTTTCCTGTGTAGAAAAACTGCTTTATTAGTGTTTCATTCTCATTGTTACAGATCTAAGTTGTCTATATTTTCTTACATTTGGTAATCATATATGTCTGAAAAATTACCTAGCTCGTATAAATTTTCTAATTTATTGGAATATGGACTTTTTAAATCTGCCATGATCATATTCTGAATTTCATTGGTATCTGTTCTAATGTGTCCCTTTTCATCTCTAATTTTAGTAGTTCGGGCCCTCGCTTTCTTTCTTTTGGTTGGTTTAGCTAAACGTTTGTGGATTTTGATTATGTTTTCAAAGAACCAATTCTTTACTTCATTGATTCTTTGTATTGTTCCTTACTTTTCTATTTTATTGACTTTCCCCCGATCTTTATTACTTCCTTACCTCCACTGATTTGGGGTTTGGTTTATTACTGCTTTTATAATATCCTGAGATGGGTCATTTTTTATTTGAATTCCTTCTAATTGTTTTAATGTAAGCATTTATCTCTATAAACTTCCCTCCTAGAACTGCTTTCATGGAATCCCACAAATTCTGGTAGGTTGTGTTTTACTGTCATTCAATTCCAAGAACTTTACATTTTTCCTCCTAATTTCTTTATGTGTCTCCAACTTTCATTAGTCTGTTACTCACCCTCTCTGAGTTTGTGTATTTTCTGTAGTTTCTCCCATGATAATTTCTACTTTTATTCCACTGTGATCAGATAAAATTTAAGAAATAATTTCAATTAATTCATGTTAAGATATGGTTTGTGTTCTACAATAAGCTCTATTTTATAAAAAGTTCCAAATGTTCTCTTGTAAGAGTTTTATTGTTTCAGATTATGTTTTAGGCCTTTTATCAATATTGAGTCTATTTTTGTCTATAGGGTCAAGTAAAAGTCCAATTTCATTCTTTGTTTATGAGAATCTCACTTGTCAGCACTACTTATTGAATATATATGTACGTATATATATGGTGGTGTTTATGGTTTTTCTATTCTGCTTCATTTTTGCATCTGTGTGTTTTATGCCAGTACTGTGCTGTTTTGATTCATATAACTTTGTAATATGCACTAAAATCAGGAGTTGTGATGCTTCCAACTACTTTTTTTATTTTGTCAGAATTGCTTTGGTTTTCAGGATCTTTTGTGGTTGCATACATTATTTATTTTCTGTTTCTATGAAGAATGTGATTTTCACATCAAACTATACATTGCTCTGAGTACTGTTTATATTTTAGCAATACTAATTCTTTTGCTCCATGAGCATGACATCTATTTTGCGTTCGGTTATTTCTTCTATCACTGTTTTGCAATTTTCAATGTATAGAACCAATTTAAAATGTATAGAACTTTTTAAAGTAACTTTATTTGTAGGTAGTTTGAGAGCATCTTTTTTAAAAACAAAACCAAACCAAACCAAACGTCATACCACAATCCTAGCATTCAAAAGCATATTCCAGAGCCAGTGCTCGTACTGCCAAAATTCATTATCCTAGGCCCGAATCCTTCAGACAGAATGTCTGGTTGACTTTTCTGTGGCCATCAAATATAACAGTATTTTAATCCCAATCTATAATTTCAAAGAATAAAGCTGGTAATCTTCCTTCCTATACAATTAAAATCCATCAGCCTTTACCTTTTAAATGAATCTGTTGTAAACACACATTAAATGGCTACTATAATTCATGTCCCTCTTTATGATTTCTCTCAATAAATTTAGTTCACAAAATATACAAAACTAGTCTCACATGAATAATTCTAGGATAATGGAATTATCCACACACTTGAATTCTGCTGAGCCCTTGGCAATGGTTGACTTTAAGGGTGAAGTTGAAGTTCATCCTCTCTATTTTCAATCTGGTGCTGATAGGACCCCTTTAAGCAAGCCCTGTGATAAATTTACTTTATTCTGACTCCTTTTTGATTATTTTTTGAGCCAGTGTCTCACTATGTAGCCCCAGCTGACCTGGAACTTGCTATGAAAACCATTGCAGGCTGGTGTCCATCTTACAGCAATCCTCCTGCCTCTGACTCCCAAGTGCTGGGGTTACAGGCATGTGCCACCATGCCTGGCCCTTATTCCAACTCTTATAGAGATAAAAATGTTTCCTGCTTTGTCTTCTATTCATGCCACACACATCAAAACCTGAGACTTAAAAGGACATGGACTGCAACATCACACATCCGAAGAATTAAACCATTATCTTGATGATACAGTTCTCCATAAAATAAGCCAAAGGCACATTGAACTGTCACTTTCCCCAAAGGTTGTCACCAGAAAATAATGACAAATGCTGGGAAGGAGGAAGTTAATATAGATATAGTGGGAAATCATATAAACTTTCCTCAAAATAATTAAAACCAGAACAGCCGTGTCATCCAGCAATCTCACCATTAGAGAGGCATCCAAAGAAAATGAGACAGGTCCAAGAGAATCTGCATGCCATGGCCATCGCAACACTATTTACAACAGTCAAGAACTAGAACTTGCTAAAGTTGAGCAACTCATAAGTAGACTTCAAAATATGATACAGATAGATACCTGGTGAGATCATATTCCACCATAAAGTTAATGAAATCCTGTTATGTCTGACAAGATGGATAGAGCTGGATATAATAATGTTATCTGAACTAAGCCAGACATAAAAAGATAATTATCATTCAATATCACTTATTCATGAGATCCAAAAATTATTACCATAGAATTTGAAAGTAGAAGGTAGTTACCAGAGGCTAGAAAGAGTAGGAGAGTTAAATGAAGGCTTATCAGAGTGTACTACATTTTAGTGAAATAGGAGTAAAAGATTCTAGTGTATTTATTTGCTCTTGAAGTTGGTATTGGACCATAGATTGATGTTTTTTCCTTGGCACCTTCATAATGTTCTCCAAAGCTATGAGGGCTAGCCTTCAGGGGAAGTGGTTTCAGGTCAGTTGCAGCTCACAAAAGGTCATAAATGGCCAAAGCGTAGAGATAAAGAGTCTGCTGAATGCTGGTCCTTGGACAGAATTTCTATATTAAACTTCCCCCCCTCCAAGGCTCAGGGACCATTTTGGAAGAGGGGGCAGAAAGATTGTAAGAGCCAGGGAGGAGGTGCATGAGCATATGGAAACAGAGTCCTACAAGGCCCTGGGAACCTGCTCATGTGATTCTATGGCAATGGTGTCAGCATGCACAAGTCTCATGCAAATTCAGGTAGACAGGAACCCAGCATAGAACTGGGGAAATGAGAAGCAGACCCTGATCTTATCTGAAGAAATATTGACAGCTGATTGCTGCTAGGTGAAGAAGAGCTGATCTTCCTAAAACAAGGGACTCTAGATAGGCTGAGTAGACCTCAGGGGATGGACTTGCCCTGGGGAACATCTGGGAACACTGACTTGACAGCGTGGGCCATAACAGGGACAACAGTGTATATGGGCTCCAGTGCGGGGAGGGGGGGCTATGGAATGGTGCTGGTGAGGAGCGGGGTATAAAGATGATTAAGATTGTTTGAGATGTTCTCTATGAAATACACAAAAATTCAATAAAATCAAATTTTGAAAAATTCTAGTGTGCTATTCTGGTACACAGTGAGGTGTCTGTAGATAGACATGGACTATACATTTAATAAACGAGAAGGAAAGAGTTTGGAGGTTTCTCATCATAAAGAAATGACAATGTTTGAGGAAATATGTTCATGCTGATCTAACCATTGCACAATATAGACTACATTCAAAGCATCATCTAGACTTGCACTGCAGTGTGCACTCACAGTCCAAAATACATATGCACTGTTATCTGGGGAAAGTAGTCAGAAAAATGGAGCAAAATGTTTACGTTCACAGGTCTGCTTGAAGATGAATTTCCTTTTCCTCTGAGGTGTCACTGGTCTTCACTGGAGCCTCCAATGTACTGTGTGCAAATCCAACATTCCCTCCAGTGTATTGATATGAGATGATGTCCATCCCTTATGTTAATGATCATGCATCACCCATGCATGAATCTCTTTCCTCGGACTAGGATTCTGAGCAAGTCTATATGTAGTTCTGGTAATATATGTAGTTCCCCATAAAACTGGGGAAATGGCAGCAGACCCCAATCTTAGCAGAAGAAATATTGGCAAATGATTACTGCTAGGTGAGAAAGAGCTGATCTTCCTAAAGCAAGATAAGTTGATCTTCCTCTAGATAAGTTGACTAGAACTCAGTAGATGAGCTTGCACTGAGGAATGTCTGGGGACACTAACGTGACACAATAGGCCTTAATACAATGACAGAATGTATGAATTCCAGTGGGGGGCTGTGGGGGGTGCCAGTGAGGAAGGGGGTATAAAGATTATTGAGATTGATTGAGATGTTCTGTATGAAATACACAAAATTTCAATAAGAGCAAATTTTTTCAATTTTTTGGAAAAATATGCTGGATTTCTAAATTGTGGTCTAAATATTTTCAATAATGAATCTTCAAGTTATAACTGGATGTTAGTATAAATGTTAATAAAACTAACTTGTGATGTATTGTATTCCTAATAGATGGTCTTTTTTTTTACCACAATTAGAAGCCAGGACCATTAATGTCACGAAGAGTGAAGTATTTTCTACAGAAGCAACAGTGTCAAATCTTCCATTTTCAAAAACTACCTCAATGCTGCCAAGTTCCAACAAAAGTAAGTATGAAGGCTGGTGAGAATGTGTCACACTAATACATTGCCAGGACCAGCCTCAGAATGCTTTATGGCCCACAATTATAAAAGAACCATGCCCTACTGAGATTCTCTCCTGTTCACCCTCAAACAAGGCAATCATTTGACATTGTTTTTTTTTAACTTAGAGTCTATCCACAGCCAAAGCTATGTGGGTGTTGGTGAAGATTAATATAAGTTTGAGTAAACATTTATTATATCTCTCATAAAAGGACAGTCAACAAAATACACATGAATTTTATAAAATATTTTGAAGAGAAATTATATAAATATTCTCAGACTCAGAAAAGATTGAAATAGTTATGTTTCTTCCTTGGGATCTGAAATACAAAGATGCTTCTTCTCATCATTTCCCCTGAGCATTATAACCAGAGGCTCTAAATAGTAATGAAACAGGCAGATGGAGGATTGATAAATAAAGAGGGCAATTCAGATATAAAGAAAAGGTATGATTTTATTAGCATAAGCTACAGTCATCTATATCGAAAATAAAATTCATGTTAAAACTACAAGAACCATAAAGCAATTTTACACAGACTTTAAGATATTAAAATAATATTTTACATATTAATAAATGGCAATCCAAAATAAAATTATGGAAATTATTCCATTTACAATAGCATCAAAAAGTACAAAGTATTTAGGAATAAACCCAACAATAGAAATGCAATACCTGATAGTCAATATTCCAATGAGTAATTCAGTATCTAAATAAATGGATACTACATATTCACGGATTGGAAGATGGCATTTTAAACACACGTCCTTCCCAAATGATAATAATTGGTTAATATTTTCATTTCAGTAGCTAAAGAATCTGAGTAGTATTTTAAAGAACTTGACAAATATCCTAAAATCTGTGTGGAAATGCAAAGAACATAGACTAGCCTCCAAGTTCTTTTGATAAAGAAGAATGAACTTAGAGGATTTCCACAACCCAGTTTACTAAATTTACTCCAAAACAGTAATAATCAAGCTTGAACCTCAAGGATATGTTGCCTCATGAATGAAGCGCACACAAAATACAGCACACAGCATTATCCTATGTATGTTAAACATACAAAAAATTGTTTTTTGGTCTTTTTGAGACAGGGTCTTCCTGAAGCTCCAGCTGTCCTGGAACTCACTATTGTAGACCAGGCTGGCCTTGAACTCACAGAGATCTGCCTGCCTCTGCCTCCCAAGTGCTGGGATTAAAGGCATGTGCCACCACGCCTAGCCACATTTTTTATTTAAATTTATCTAACTGATACACAAAAACCTAAAAATTATAAACATATACATGGCCCCCTCGTGATATTTTGATGCTTGTGTAACATTTAAATCAAGATGAATATATTTGCTGTCTCCTTGAATATTTGCATTCTTTATGGTGAAATTCCAAATCCTTGCTTCTAATGTTTTAAAGCACCATACACTTCCAGTTATCTACAACCTTACACTGCAGTAGCACACCAGAGCTTCTTACTAACTCCTTACTGCTTTCTGGAAACCGCTACACTTTGGTCAGCCTGTTCCTTACCCTTCACCCTGCCCTCCCCCAGCCTCCAGTAAACATCATTCTAAACAGCTTCTACAAGAGCAACCTTATACTGCACATTGTTTGAGATCATGTTGTACTTGTATATCTATGTCTGTCTTGTTTCACTTAACATAGTTTTCCCTAATTTCAGCCATTTTTGTTACAAATAACAGAATTTCATTGTTTTATGGCTGAATACAACACTGCATTGTATTTAAGTACTACAGTTTCTTATCTGCTCAACAACTGATGAGCAGTTAGGTTGCTTCCATTGGTTATGAACTGTGGCACAATAAGTATAGGAGAGAAGATATCTCTATTTATTTGCTTATTTTAAATAGTTATTTTTATATCTGAGAATTTCACATGTGAGTATTGTATCTGCATTATTTCCAACCCTCTGAGTCTCTCTCAAATTCTTCCCATCTTGTCCTCTTCTTTGTTATTATTGCATATATATACATATATATGCACACGTATATGTTATATATACACAATTCACTGAGTCTATTTAGTGGTGTTCATGTGTACATGTGTTTAACGTTTCCCACCTGGCATCAGACAACCTCTCAGGGAACTAATCCCTGGAGAAAACCGATCTTCCTGCCTCAGCATCCATTGGTTGCCTGTAGCTCTTCATCTTGAAGTGAGGCCCTTGAAATCTTTCCCATCTACCTTGGCGTGTCAACTCATCTTGTCATTATGCAGATATTGTTAGGCTACCTTACTATGGAGAGTTCATGGGTGTAACTCTCCAATTATGTCTAGAATTCAGCAACTAGCAGCAGGGGTCTTGTCCCTCTGGCTCTTACAATCGTTCTGTTCCCTCTTCCACAATGTTTCTGCGCATCATGTGTAGAGGTTGCATTGCGAATGTGCCACTTGGGGATGGGCACCTCACAGTTACTTATCCTCTATATTCTGGACAGTTGTGGAACTTTGTAATAGTTTCCATTTGTTGCAAAGAGATGTTTTTTTGATTAGTGGTGAAAGCTACACTTGTCTGTAAGTTTAAAGATACATATTTAAAATGTATTAAGAAATTACATTGGTCTAGGAAAGCGACAGAAGTGGGTTCTTCTCCAACCATACCTCTTAGCATTCTGATTTCATTTCTCTTGGATGTATGTCCAGAAGTGGAAGTGATCATACAGTAGTTCTTTTTCAACTGTTTGAAAAGCTTCCATATGAATTCCAGAATTTCTGTATTAATTTATGTTTCTACCAGCAAAGCACAAGAATTTCATTTTTAGAAAGGAATTCTAAGAAAGGTCTTCAGCAACATTTTCTACATTCTATGACTTTAGTAATGACTCATTCTTATAATGGTAAGATAATAACTCACTGTGGTTTTGATTTGCCCTCTCCAACCATTAGTGGAAAAATGTTTATGTACATGGATCATTTTTGATCAGATTGTTTGTGAAATGATAATGATATTCTTAAAAGTATAAAATTAAGAGATTACTTGTGACTGGGCATGTAAACAGTAGGACTGCAAAAGATTTGTAGAAATTTTCCATATTGATGGAAATGTTTTAAAACCAGAATATGTTGATAGTTGCACAATTAAAAATTTACTAATAATTACTGATTTTATATGAAAATCAATGCATTTAGTATTTAAACAGTATCTTTATCCAATTCTGTTTAAAAACAAAAGGAGATAAACTGTTGAGCATGACCAATCAAATTTCCTTTCACAGTAATCTGAGTCAGAAGACCTAAATAAGCAGAGTTAACCATGGGAGCTAAAGCTGCAAAACTTCAGCATAGTAAGTCTGAAAAAGTTAGTGAATTACATGTGTGTGTGTTGCATAAAGAAACAGATACTATGAGTTTCTAGAATGGATAAAGAAAGACAGGGAGGAGGTAGGAGGATTGGGAGACCCCCGTGAGCTAAACTGAACTTTTTGTGAGACAGAAAGAACTAGAACCCAGAGTATCCATAGTTTCTGATTTCTAGTTCCAGAACATTTATAACAGTGTGTGCACCTCCCACGTGCTGCCCTCTAACCTGCACACAGAAACTGTCCTTACTAGAAAAGCCAACAAACTACCAGAACAGCCTTGTCCAACACCATTCAATACTAATGGTAAATATTTCTGGAGCATATCCATCCACCTACTAGTGGACAGCTACAGATAACTTGGTTTCTACAATTCCACGGGGGAGTTCCTTTAGATAGAAGGACATGGCACATAAGAACTAAGGCGATCCAGGACCCACTCTGTTCTACAACTACACCCAAAACAACATTTTTCTGTTTTTATTGTAATAATCTTAAACACAACATGAAGAAGGTTGTTAGAGATAATTTCACACAATAACTGTAAACTGCTAATCCTTTTTAAAGAGACAGTCACCTCGTAGAAAATTTGAAGAGTAAAATCTCTCCATATGAACTAAAGATTTTAATTGTTGTTGTTTTATTTTTTTGTAATGTATTTGGAGTCTCATAAGCCAAAATATATCTGAAAGAAACTCTCAAAAGCATATCTCATCCATCTCACATGATTGCCCCTAGCACAAACAAAAATAAAAACAGACATGTATCTGTTGAGTGTGTTATGGTTGCTGGGGTGTTAAACTCAATTTGTGCCCTGCATTGACCATTCATTCATTCAGTGGCTGATGATGAGGTCAGCCATAGATTGTGGTTGATTAGAATTAATTATTATACTAAATGTGTGACAGTGCCCATGGGACACCTACAATTTTTTTTTTTTTTTTTTCACTTTGATTCCTGAAGTGGAATGACCTTCATATCCCAGTTCTGGGACAGTCACATTCATTATTTAGCTTCTAAAAGAGTTGGAAATGACTTGTGTGCAAGTGCTTAAAATAATTAAATTAGAGACATAGCTTTTAAAAGTAAAATGCCTGGGTTGGAAATGTAACTCAGTGGTAAAGAGCTTGACTACCATTCACAAGGACCTGGGCTTGATCCCCAGCACTGAAAAATCAAATAAGTAATGAATAAAAATGCTACTACTGGAAATTAAAATAACACGGGAAGGCTAGTTACTCTTCTCCCTTGCTTTCATCATTGGTTAGCCAGTTTTATACCAAGTACTTGAAGTGTTTGCTTTAAATATCTAACACCTTCTTCAGACTGTGGCGCAGCCATTTTTTTCCAGATTGCTCTCTTTCTTCAGGTGCTTTTTCTTCAGCAAGGACTTGGGAACCTGCAATGAACTTGCAGAAATTTCCTTTTGCTAAGTGATGAAACCAAGACTCCACCTTTTTCACCCTTAAATACATACGTACCTAGAAGTATGGAGTCAGCATTATGATAGAAAACAAAATAAGCACTCTGAAAGACGAGCTGAGGATTTGCCTCACACAGAAACTTATGCGCAATATTTCATTGAGCCATGAATATCAGATAAAGTTATTTATGGTTAAACCAATCCCCAAAGCTAAAGATTTAGGCCAGAA